CCCGGGCGCTGTGGGTTTGCTTTCTGGCGCGTCTGGGCTTTCCAGGGCTCCGGAGGACCGCGGTGCTCGCCAGGCCTCCGGCTCTGGCCGGCCCGGGACTGACTGTCTGAAGTGGGCTGGGGCGTAAGTGCTAACAAGGAGTTGGGCTGCTGCCCTGTCACAGCATTGCAGTGCCCTCCTGCCTCTCCCGAACGGCATTTACTCTTGTGGCAGAATAAAAAAAAAAAACAACAAAAAAAAGCAGCTGCTTAGGGTGGTAGTTCTTATTTCACCCATGCGGTTTGGGTAATGGGGGTGCATTACCTTGTGGAGAGCATGGTTTGGGATCTGAGCGTTATTGTGGGTATGGGATTGCGTGTTTTGGAAGGATGACTGTTGGGGAAGGTGGCTCCAACCTCAACCTCTTTTTCCTTCTCAGGTCATGTAGAAGAGCAGATTTAATGTGAAGATGGGACTGTTGGTGTTTATGCGTAACCTGCTGCTAGCCCTCTGCCTCTTTCTGGTACTGGGATTTCTGTACTATTCTGCTTGGAAGTTGCACCTGCTCAGATGGGAGGATTCAAGTAAGTACGAGCACCGTGTAAATGTTTCTGGGCTCCCTAAAATATCTGTTAAATAGTTGCAATAGTACTGAGGTGGTTCTGATTTAGTAGCATTAGAGGGATGTGATTAAGCCCAATCAAATGCTGGAGCTTTTTGTATACTTAAGGGGTTGAATTTGTGATTACTTAATGCTCTTTATGGCTTTACTTTTATTACTGGGTACAAAAGCAGGTTCATGCTCTATAAATCTAGTATTAGAGATTTCAGTTCTTGGAATATTCTGTGTTGGTTTATGACTCCTAATTGTCAAAATAAAGAGTTTGCATGCTGAGGCTTTTGTTCCCTGAATCTTTTTGTACGTTTAAAAATACCTAAGGAAAGGGTTTCTTTTCCTGGTGGATTTTGATTTCTTTCTGTAATCATATATGCTGGTTACCTCCTTATCTTACTTTGTCCTTCAGAAATCCTCATGTTCTATTTACCTTCCATGTTATTATCTGCCAACTATTTGTCATCTAAAACGATATATCTCAACCTTTTTAAGGCCAAAGAGACATCTGACCTCGCTGAATACAATCTGAGGATTGTACTGTGCAGTAATGCCATAGGAGATTTTAGTTGCAATGAGATACAAAATTAGACTGAGGTTTGATTGCTCAGTTACAGCTCTTGTTTTTGCTCGTGTTGATTGCTTTCTTGCTTGCATATGAGAATTGTTTATTGAAAATATAAAACCAAGGAAAAAGTTCCCTTCTCTCCCCCTCCTACCCAAAGCACAGGCCAGCCTTCTTTGCAGCTGTTCCACAGACTGTTTCAGATGTCTCACAGCTGACCGTTGCTCCCTGGATCAGTGGCTGAGAAACAGTGATCCAGAAGGATTGTTTTTCTGTCCGACAAAAAGCCATCGGTCAAACTCCATCTTCGCTGTATTGTGTTTCTGTGCATGCTGCTGGAGGTTTCTACTGCAGTGCTTATTAAACAACATTTTTCTACCCCTACGTGCTCTCTTACGTGCTCTGTTGTTATGTGCTCTAAGGAGTTTTGCATGATGACAGATGATGACTTGGATACGACATTTGCACTGATGCAGTGATTTTGACAGGAGGACTGCTAAGGTGTCTTGTACTAGAGCAAGTATTGGAAAACTGAATTTGTAAAAGGAGATGCACAGTGTCTTTCTGAGCAGGGATTGTTTCTTCAGGCTTGTGCTTCAGAGAGGGAGTAAAAAATCTTGATTGTGATCTTCTGAAAACTAGCACTTTTGTCAATGAGGTATAGAAAATTGTTCCTGCATGAAAAAAAGTACAGAGTGTAGTTAAAAGGAACTGTTGTGCCATATATGCTACCGCATGATGATCTATTATGAAATTATACCACCTGCTATCCTTACTTCCTTCATACCACCAGAAATTTTGACGGGACTTCCCAAGGCCTGCAAAAAACCCTTCAGGCCACAACTTTTATGTAAACTTTTTTAAATGTGGAGGAGAAGCTTTGTGTTTATGTGCCATATACCAAGATGCTGGGGTGGGTTCTAAATTTCTTCAGGTTTTGCCTTTTTGGATTTTGTGCCTTTAGTTTTGTGTGCCATTTGTTATTTTTCACCCTGTCAGCCCTTGTGGGGTTTTGTCCTAACTGTGCCTTGTGATGCAACGTTGCAAATCTATATGCAAACATTGTGGATTTCTGTAAGGCAATGCTTTTACCTGGGAAGATGACTTTACGTTGCAGCCTAGTTAGAGTAATTTCTATTGAGCGTACCGGCTGCTTTTGAATACCCAGGATGGTTCTGACAGGAGCACTGTGAGGAGGTGTCACAGACTTTGTTAGGTGTGTGTCTCCTTTTTTCTAATCTTGTGTGTAAAATGTGTTCTTCATTTATTCTTGGAAGTTGCAATGCTTGCGTTAATCTTCAACATGTACAAAGCAGTGATACTAGCTTGAAGATTTAGCTTATTGATCTTTATCAGTTGTCACAATTGATATAGGCTGTACTATGTTCCTTTTCTTCTAGACACTTTTATGCATTATGTCTTAAATATCAGATGAAGTTCCTTGAAATATTACTGTAAACAGCAGTCTAGTGCAAGAGGGCAAAATTCTATGTGAATACTTTTGAAAACAGTTAAGGTGGTGCCAGTTTTCAGCTGATCTTCAGAGTGTTGTATGTATCAAAAGTGTTTTATTTATCATGTAATTTTACACATGAGGAACTTGCGCAGATTTAAAATACAAATTTAAAAGCCCCTATCAGGAAACTTGATATGAAGAGTTAATGTTAGGCTTCTGCAAATAAGTGTTTGGAAGTTAACAAATGACAGAATTGAAGTTGTTTATTTAACCATGATTAGGCTTCCTTGAGCATGTGTAATATGAGCCAATGTGTAATGGTGCAATTATACTTTCTATTTTCTGAAGGGGAGCCTTGCTTAGTTCAGTGCACAAGGCAGGTGGTGCTTTATTTTCTGAATTACAGTTCAGTGTGTGACCTTGTAAATTTCCCTAAGATTGATAGGATAACGCTGATGTCCCCAAAGGCAAAACTAAGTTAGATGGGTTAATCTTGGGGTGCTTAATAACCTAAATTATTGATTTTATGTGTAAGTTATCTTCTTATTAAATTATTTTCTCTTTTCTTGTGACCAGCATCTTTATTCTGTGTAACAGTGACTCCCTGGCTTTGGTAGTCACATTAATCTTTTCTCTGTTCTGTTCTTTGTGCTAGAGGTGGCATGAAACTAAGCTGATCCTGACACCCGACACCCTTGCAATCTCTTCAGAGACTGGTTTTAGTAAACTCGACACCTCTGTTTAATATTGGACACGAACAAATTTGCCATAGAGTATGGTGAAAAATACTTGGTCTGCTGACTTGCTGCTTGTGTGGTTTGTTCACATAATGTTTTAGAAAATGCCAGTGTATGTTGTTGTTATGGATGAATTTGTTATGGTAACTCTGTAAGGAACCTAGTCACACTGAGACTTCAATGTTTGTATATTTAGCTGCTAAGGTAAATGAATAGTTGAAAGTAATTTGTTTGTTTGTACTTCTGACATCTCCAAGGGGGCTAAACTGAATAGACTGAAAGATACACATCGATGTTTCTCTTACCATCTCCATTTAACTTTAAACCTGTCCTCCTTGAGTGATGCCTTAGCGAGTTCTAAGAGATTGTTCTCCTTCCTGTGTGACTCGACACCTCTCCAAAAGACAAAGGAGAATAGGAAAGAATTAATTCTCCAAGGCTTATCTTTCCTGTGACAAGAATAGATTGAATTCAGCTAATGTGAACTAATTAAGGTTGAATTAAGTTCAACTGCTTCTTCCATTCAAGACAAACCCCCAGTGACTGCTACCCTTCTCTCATCCTTTTAGTGAGTATCATGGCTGGCTCCTCTTCCCCAGCCTTGTTTTATGTCGGTGGCAATATATTGTTAGTTCTCAGAGCAGTAGCAAAGTGCAAAAAAGTGGTGTCTAACATTGTGTGAATGCAGGAGGGCCTTTGAGTTCCAGTGATCGCTGGGAGTATATGAGCAGTGTTTAGGAGGGACGTAAGCTTTCCATTTTCTTTTTTCTTTCCTGATTTCTATAATGCAGCTTCAGTCTCTGACAATAGTGCTAAGAGATGTACACCATCCTTGCACGTTCTTCCCAGACAGATGCCGCAGCCTCTGATTAAGAGTGTTGAGTTGCATGGAGGTGTGCTAAGCATGTAGAACTGATAATGTGATGTGGGGGGCAAACAAGAAAATAAGAAGTTTGATATTGGGTTTAGCTATCCTGTACATTTTAGAAGGACCTTGCAGCCTCTTTCCCAACAGCTCCCTGTCTTATCCCTTCCACCTTCCCTGATGCCTTTAGCTCCGAGGAGGAGGGAAGATGTTATCTGTACAAGAAGACAGCACGGGGGAAGGTGCCCCATTATCTTTGAAAAATACGATGGGAGATGGAGTCTTGCTGACAGTGCCTCTTAGATTTGCTTATCAGCTTGGAGGAATGCATTTTTACTCATAACTGAAGGGCAGAATACAGTCATGTTAAAATTTAATACTAATGTTTGTTACTTAACCTGGTATGTGTATAGCTGATTTTGCAACTTAAAAATGAATGTGTTGTAAGGAAGGAATGATTCCATTAAAAAATGTTCTGGCTATGGAAATATTGGACTCATTCCCCCAAGGCAGCTTTTTTTCTCTTCCTTTTTTATTTATTTTTTTTTTTTTTTGCCTCTCAAAGTATTGAAGTATACTAGGGACAAGGACAGTGTGACGCTATTTTCCTATTCTCTGTGGTATTTCTATCCACATGAGCATTGAATTAATTTAAAGAAATACATACTCTACTTCAGGTACTTTTGCCAAAACCTAAGTTAATGCAATTTGTAGCTATAGATTTGAGTTAGTCAGTTTGAAAGTGGCTTTTGAAACATCTCCAGGTATGTTCTGTTGATGTCTCCATAAAGAAATCAAGTCACTACTCTGTCATCTGTTGCTCCACATTATTTTCAACTCTAGTTCTGGAAAGGCAGGCAAAAAGATAAAGGTCTGGGAAGAGATTTTCTGAAGGTATTTCAGGACCCTTATCTTTTTTTTTTTTTTTTTTTTTTTTTTTTTTTAAATTTCTGTTTCCATGGGAACTGAGGAGCCATAAACAGGCAAAACTGACTGACTTCTGGTTGCAGGTTTTTAGTCTGCTTGCATTTCCATGGAAACCAGTCTTGCAGCAAAAAAGGCTAAATTAATCAAAAGCAATCAAACCTTTATCTTTAATATAAATACTGATTTCTCTCTTTCAAAGTAAAATGGTATTTTTGTCAATTCTTATATTGGGGACTAAAAATGTCCTGAAGAAATCGATCCTTTTACAAGGGTTTGGAACGTGTGTGCTCCTTCTCATGTAGTTAAAGCCTCATGGTATGTAGTGTGGGTACAACTGTTGTATCTTGAGTTACTAGGCATGTCATTTGTTCTACGATAAGGGAGTGGGTCTTGCATACGCTGACATCTGACTTCTTTCCAT